CCGGGTCCACCCCCCGCCCCCCCAGGACCGACAGTCTTGACAATGCCCCCAACTCATCCTTCCATCCCCCCTTCCCCACCGTGAAGGGCGTCCTGCCCCCCCGAGCCCTCATGTCCAGGGCCCTCCTGGCCCCCAGACCGACCGGGTACGTGTGGCCTGCCCGGTTTGGCCGGGGCGCCACCCCACAGTGAACCCCCCCTCTCCCCGCACAGCGACTGGTGGGCATGAACATGCCCCTCAACAGCGATGGCACCGTCACCTTCAACGCCACCCTCTTCGCCCTGGTGCGCACGGCCCTCAAGATCAAGACGGAAGGTGAGCCCGGCCGCCGGCGTGGCTCGTGGTTGAGTGTCGGCCTAGGAGCCAGGAGGGCAGGGGTCAATTCCCGGTCGGGGCACATGCCGGTGGCGGAGGCTTGCTTCCCCAGTGTGAGGGCTACAGGAGGCACCTGATCCATGATTCTCTCTCCTCATTTATGTTTTTCTCTCTACATCTCTGAAATCAATAAAAATATATTAAAAATAAAACTGAACGGGAGCAGAATAGGCTGCTCCAAAATATGCTATTTGTCATGTGAGAGGGAAGGTGAGAGGGTGGCAGAGCCCCAGGCGGCTGTGTCCAGCGGGGTTGGCTCGGCCCAGCTGGTGGCTTTAGGGCCGTCCCTGCCTGCCCTCCGCCCAGGTAACTTCGAGCAGGCCAACGAGGAGCTGCGGGCCATCATCAAGAAGATCTGGAAGAGGACCAGCATGAAGCTCCTGGACCAGGTCATCCCTCCGATCGGAGGTGCGTGGGGCCCGGGGCTCGGGGTCCGGGGGCAGCTGAGGAGGGGCTGCGGGTCAGGGGGCCACACGCTGAGTACCCGGCGAGGCACCGAGTTCCCCACTCCAACACCTGCCCACGCAGAAGCGACCCCTCGCACGATGGCCCACGCGGCAGGTCCTAGATGCACTTCCACCTCCCTCGGTCCATACCCTCTACCTCTATTAATACGCCCAGGAGCCCCCAACCAGCTCAAGCAAAGCCCAAGAAAGGGGTTCCAGGTCTGGAGAGACTTGAGAGAGAGAGAGAGAGAGAGCGCCGGGGGACGGCCCAGACCCTCCCTAAATACCTTGGACGGACCCCATGGCGGCCTCAGGCCAGGTCAGAGACAGGAGGGGTGGCTCCTCTGCCCCGACCTGGGGCTCCCCTGCCCTCTGGCTCTCCCCGGCCTTCAGGACACCCCTTGTCGGCCCCCCGCAGACGACGAGGTGACGGTGGGCAAGTTCTACGCCACCTTCCTCATCCAGGAGCACTTCCGCAAGTTCATGAAGCGCCAGGAGGAGTATTACGGCTACCGGCCCAAGAAGGACGCCGTGCAGATCCAGGTGAGCCGGCGGCTCCGGGCCTGTGGCTGAGCCGGGTCTTGGGGCCCCCCGTCCTTGAGGGCCAGGGATGGAGGCACAGGGGGGGGGACGGGGCGGGGAGGGGCCCAGGGCCGGGGCAGGACCAGAAGGCAGTTCCTGGGGGAACTGTGATGGGAGACGTTCCATTCTGAAGAGAAGAACCAGGAGCCGGTCCATCTCAGGGTGACAGGGCTTGTCCAAAGGGGAGGTAGGAGGTGGAGGAGAGCAATATTCTCATGGACCAGCTGCCTCCTGCACGTCCCCCACCGGGGATCGAGCCCGCAACCCGGGCCTGGGCCCTGAGCAGGAATCGAGCCCTGACCTCCTGGTTCCTAGGTCGACACTCAACCACGGAGGCAGGCCGGCCGGGCTGTTTCCAGTCTTTGGTGTTCATTATAATGCACATAATTTATAAATTCAAAAAATACACATACCCGTGGGTTGTGTGCCCATAAATATATTTCTATAGCAATTTTTTCTTAGTTTGAAACAATCTTACAATTTTGAAAGTTGCACACATATAATGCAAGAACCTTTTTTTAAAAAAAATTTTTTTTTATTTGATTTCTGAGAGGAAGGGCAAGGGAGAGAGGGTGGGGCCGGAGCCGAAGCCCCCGTTGCAAGGGTTAGAAACGAGGGAGGCCGTGGGGTGTTATCGGGTCCCCCACCTGGACCGGAGGGGTCAGGGGGTCCCTTCTCCATCCCCCAGGCCGGACTGCGGACCATAGAGGAGGAGGCCGCACCCGAGATCCGCCGGACCATCTCGGGCGACCTCACGGCTGAGGAGGAGCTGGAGAGGGCCATGGTGGAGGCCGCCATGGAGGAGGGGATATTC